TGACAACAGAAATAATGTATTCTGACATCTAATTTTTTGAAGGAACCCCTCCTTACCTGGTAACTTTTGAAGCAACTTCTGTTGTTAGAATTTGTTGCAATCTTACAGACATATGCATATACATCTTCATTTTTTGAAAAAACAATGATAATATAATAAATTGACCTGGATCAAGAGCAGTACACGTATTTCTCACTGCATACCACTCCAAGCCAAACATGCAGCCTGACCTTTAGTATCAACACCACAATTTACTAGTATTACAGCACAAAAATAGCTACATCTGTAATAAATGGCTGACAAGAAACTTAGACTAGATACAAGAAAAAAAGAACTACAGCACTACTTCAAATCCTAAAACAACCCAAAAAACACATGAAGGACAGGTGGGTGCGGCAGGTCAGGCAACGGTGGATGGCAACAAAAACAAACAGAACTGAAGACACCACCACCCTCAAACATATACTCTCAGCCATGTCTTAAAAAAATGTTTTTCCACTTCTTTAATTCCTTAGCCAGCAGAGAGCCACACTTACCTGAATTCTGCACTTTACCAGATCAAGAGGCACAACAGCTGTATGAGTGAGACCACAGCTAAGGATTCCGCCAAATCCACAGTATGCATAATACTTTGAACTTCCAAACTCACAACTGTACTGTTCTCCTAAAAAAAAGCAGTAAAACAGTGGTCTCATCGGTGCTCCAAAAAAGTCTTGTCAAGTAGTCCAAGACAAGTGGATTTTCTTGCTGGGCAAGTAACTTTCAAAGCTTACCAAGGGTTTCCACTTACGAGAGCTTTCTCCAAACAAAGGCACTTTCTCACTGTTCAGAGGGTACTCCAAACCTTTCTTGTGAAGTGCAATTGGGGCTTTTAGTTTTTATTCATTATAGATTCTAATGACGCATCCCCAAAAAATTTTTATGTGCACATGAAAGAGATTTTGAAAGAAGATTTGAAAAGTAGAGGAGGCTGATTATAAAAGGCAACTCACACACATCAAGGACAAAAGAGTGCTGCAGTTTATGTTGGGATCTCCTGGATGGTGCACAGTTCTTTGTTTTTTGTTCACAAATTGTGACAATAAATATATTAGTGCGACATTTTACTGGCCAGTAAGATAAATACAATAGGAATACTAGCAGTGACAGAGGAGTCTGAAGGCCTTCATAACCATTCCACTCAAAACAATGAGATCTCAAGGAAAACGAGAAGTAACCTACATGTATGGAGCATAAACAGTTTAGTTGATATGAATCATTAACCAGTAAATTAATTTTTCAATTTTCCATGAAGAGTGAAATGCTTGATTTTTACATGAACATGAAGATATTTTAGGAATTATTTGTGACGCATGAAAAATCTCAATAATTTTTCCGTAAAAGCTTTTTTGCAAAGGGGTAAAGGGACCCTAGCCTTCGAAACCAGTCATCTCTCCTTGCTCCTTGCCGCTTGGGACGTTGTGTCTCAGCAACAGAAATTCGATACTGATTACGTAAACAGTGATTTTACATCATCAGTATGGAATTTCTGTTGTTGGGGCACAGATCTCTCCTGGTGAAATGCCCCTTGCCGAAAGCAGGGTATTCAGTAAGAGCCGGTGGCTGGTGAAATTCACTGGCTATTTCACATGAACTCGCTGCCGACTTTTCTTTGGAAATTACCCCAGTTTTTACAAATAACATGATTTAAAACAGATACTGAAACAACCAATGGTTCATAACTATTAGGAAAAAGAAATAAATTAAAAAAATAGAGTATTCATGTGCTGTTACTGAATAAAAAAGCCAAAACTTAATGATGTCTGTGTTCTGTTCAAAAACTCTCATTTTTGCTGCAGAATGCTGGAAATGCATTCCAAGAAGCCCAGATTTCAAAATTTTACCAGGGGGCATGCCCCCAGACCTCCCTAGAAGCTTGTGAAGGTGCAAGTTTTTTCCATCTCAACCTACTCCAAAGCTTTTACCACCTAATAAAACCTTAATGAAAACCCTGGAAAGGAGGGAGGAGAGATAGTTTTTTTCACAGGCTAAGGGGACCCCAATTCCCCACCTACTACATGCATGTACCTGGTAACTTGAAATTTTGCTAACAATAGAGCCCTGACATTTAAGGACCAAAACTAAAATTTAAAAAATCTCAACTGATCAAAAGTGTAACATTTTTCAACAACTTGCAAACATTCATCTTAAATTATGACTGTTCAAAATAGGGGGAGGGTTTTTGATATCTACATTTCCTATTTCAAGGCCAAAGTCCAGATAGATTAACTCTATATCATACACGTTATAAAAAAGTGACGTAAACACGTGAACTAAAACATATTTGTTGCGTAGTTTCCCTAAAATTACGTAGGGGGAAGTCCGGTTACTTGCAATCACACATGCACACAAAAACTAATTCTCTTCGAAGACTTTGATCCAATGAACGTACACTACAACGATCAAACTCCAAAAGAAAGAAAACCAAAAAGATGTGTCATAACGTGTGGTTCTTATGTCGTGACTGCAAAGTTTATATAATCGGACGGCTCCATTAAGAACACACCTAGATGAGACGAGTGCACCTACTTCGTTAGCAAGCTAGTAGCTTATAATTTGCATGGCCACTAAGAGATGCGTTTCAAACAAGCAGATAACTCTTATCTTACCTAAACCATATCTCTTAAAACAAATAGATGGTTATAAGTCGAAAGAATAACTTAATTTTAACGATCAAGAGATATACTAAACATCACAATCGAAAAATGCCGGTTCTCCAACTTACCTCCTTCGATATTCGGTGCCGCCATGATTCGGCTAGATCGATCTTGGGTTGTTGGCTCTGGTGAACATTTTGCTACACTAAAGGGAGCAGCAAACGGGCTGTTCTTCGCCGTTTCTGAAAACCTTGAGAACATTTCAATTTTTTTACTAATAACGACACAAACCGGTGAAAAAATTCAGTGCGCTTCGAGGTCGAACGCCTCGTCAATTTCCACGCTAAGAGGAAGCCGATGACGAATTATGGGAACTACGTAACATTGCTAATTGTTCGGCTGACTGCGCATAAGTTTTGTGCATAGCCGCTGTTTCTATATCTGCTGTTTCAAATTATCGCAGGAAACGTGGCGGCCGTAGGCCTATAAATTGAGAATTTCTAGCCGCTTATAGTAAAAAGGTTAACTGTAAAGTTTTCTCTGTTTTCTAGCCAAAAGTTTGCCATGCCCTACTGTCAATATTGTTTCATGGGATCTCACGTGACTTGTCACGTGGCTTATGGAGTATATTTGTTATCGCTGAGAGAGCTAAAAAACGGAAAAACCGTGACGGAAAGAAATCAACCGTGGGAAAGCCAAAACCTTTTGAGACCCTCTTGTGAAGCATTTTATAACGTCCAAAACGAATAGCAATATCAGTCCCCGGAACATAATTTATACCAAACTGGTGACTGGTCATGATAGTTACCTTCTTCTTTCCTTCAAGTCTTCCGTCCTGTTCGAAAGGTTTAGTAATGGTTGCGGACATCTAATGAAGAAGTGGGGAAGTTGTTACACAGTACATGTAGAATGTTAAAAAAGTCCCGATGCATTGAAGGCAAGCCGGATAAAAGCCATCCATGGTGAGGGGGTGAGGTTGGGACGAGTTGGAGAGGGGCTGGATACCATAGGTGCTCGTCCGCTGATATTACCCGCGTCGGTCAATAAGGAACTGGGGAGAGGGAAAGTGGAGGGCTTCCTTTCATTTCCCCATTCCCCCTCTTCCATTTTTTCCCCGCCGTCTTCCTCGCAATTTTTACTTCCTATTCCCCAAACGGGAAGCTTGTTAGCAGGCTACCAAGGTATCTCTCACTGACAGCTTTCTAAACGACCATTAGAGGTACCAATACACACCCAGCCAAAGAGACGACTCTTGTCATTTTTACGTCCGTTTATGTTATATTTAAGTCCGCCAGGGAGACAATAGTTTCTTGAGTGACTTAATTCCCATGCCAGTTTTTTGTCTGGATATTTAAACATAATAAGATATGGAATGCTTAATTCAAGGTAACGATTTTTTGCTCGAAAAGTTGTAGTCCCCACTTTTAAAGCCTCTCAAAAACTTTCTACTTGTAGTTTCTAATCAGCATATTCTCCCTTACAAACATCGAATGTCTGATTCGATGGCCACTGAAATCAAGAGTAATCCGAGATACTCAAATTATGGAGAGCTTTCTTGCTGGCCATCCTGGGTACCAGGGGCTTTTTTTCGCGTGCGGTGAGGGGCTCACGTCGGCCGAAGGCCGAAGGCACGAGCGGTGCGCAGAAAAAACCTCTGGGACCCAAGGTATTGCTGGCGGCCTCACCTTTTAGAGGCTAGTGGTCTTGGTTGACCAAAAACTAGGTTCGTGCAGTAGGTTTCCTAACCCTAAAAGCCGAATGGTTCGATACCCTAACCGTGAAACACTGGGAAATAATGATAAACAATGATCTGATATTGTTTTCTGCGGCGGGTATCTACCCCACGTGCAGACGACCCCTCCCTTTTTCCTTTGTTGCACGTCTGCACGCAAGCTAGCCCAAAAGGCCTCTCCCCTGAAAAACCGCATCTCAACACTAATGATGAACAGTGTCTACACATTTCCTTTTCTCCCAGTCGTTTATTTGTAATTTTTTCTTCACTGGTACACTGTTTGACTATCCTACCCATACTATTATCCATAACCTGTACGTCATGTGCATCAACCTGCATCATCATACAACACGACCAATTCATTTGTCATCCTTCATAACTATTTTTGTTTTGCTTTGTTTTATTTTTTCGTTTTTTTATCTTGTCATCCTAGCGGACTCTGGAAAAAAGTTTTCCGCTATATTGAAAAACACGCGCACACCTCGACCTGTATGCTTGTTTGTTTTCTCTTCTTCTTTTTCTTCAGTATTTTTGTTTTGTTTTTGCTTTCGCCAAACGTATTACACAGGAATTCATTTTGGCCATCACATAATGTACCACACTAGCTCCATGGGGTAGTACTAGCTTAACTTTCACGAACTGTGAAGGTTAAAGAAAATGTTCCCTGCATTTGGGGATAAGAGGGAGTTCCCGCACAAAGCTCCATAGCCAACACTGGAATTGCTACCATGTGCTTGTTTCCCTTGTACTGGAGATGGAACAGCCTTTTTCGTAACTTCAGTGGTTCTCTGAGTAGAATCAGCCTTTTCATTGTTACTGACTCTTAGAGCACCAAACCAATCCGGCGGCAGCTGTTGGGCAAAAAAAAAACTTTAGCCTCTGATCAAATGTGTTGAAATGACTGTTTTATTTATTATGACGTTTGGAGGCTNTCCCTTGTACTGGAGATGGAACAGCCTTTTTCGTAACTTCAGTGGTTCTCTGAGTAGAATCAGCCTTTTCATTGTTACTGACTCTTAGAGCACCAAACCAATCCGGCGGCAGCTGTTGGGCAAAAAAAAAACTTTAGCCTCTGATCAAATGTGTTGAAATGACTGTTTTATTTATTATGACGTTTGGAGGCTTAATTAAAAACCACTAGATGCAAAACGTATTTTTATCAGCACTGTTATAGCTTGTTTCGAAGAGCTTTCTCTATTCCAGTCTCTCTCCTCCGCAAAAGCTTCTTTGTGTCATAGGGGGGGCTGGGGAGAGGGAAAAAGATATTTGATATTCCTATTTTATTGGAAAACCCAGCAGTAGCCTCTAGGGAAGAGAGGGTTTCAGTTATAAGCCCCCCCGGATATAACTGCCCCCAGATATAAGCCCCCCAGGGGAAATAAGCCCCCCCCCTGGATATAATCTCCCCCCAGATATAAGCCCTTCCATTTGCAAGACAACTTAAGTAACCACCAACATCACATTTTAAGAACCTTCTAGTTGGTGTAGCCTAGGCGCGATTTCCGAGCCTAGGTGCAGCCCAGGGGATCGAAGCTACCACCTCCTGCTGTGAAGTCAAGCACTCTAGCAACTGGACTAATCCTGCCGCCGTCAAAGGAGAATTTGTTACTTAAAAAACAAAATTGGTTTGTTCTACCATATAAAAATGTAATGAAATCCTTGTGGAATGACTTTGTTTGCATGTCTTTTCCAAAGCTTCAGAATTCACTATTTGGGTTAACAGTCATATGACAAAACTAATCAAAATAGAGCTAAAGACGCTAGAGCATTTCACTTTATGACACTGAAAAAGTAAAAAAAAAATTACCAGTAACAGGAATGGCAGGGCTGGGTCTTGGTTTCCATAAGCCATAGTCTTGGGTAGACTGGTTCATGAACTGTGTGACTGTGTCCCATCCAAGTCAAGTTCCTTTCCTGACCTGTCGTGACCATACTTTTTTTGTTTGTTTACTCGTTTAATTTTTTCTCAGTTTTGTGGTTTTTTTAGATGATTATTTTTCATTTAATTTTTAAATTTTTATTTATTTTTTTGTTTTTTTGTTGTTTTTTTTTCCCCTTCAGTTCTTTTGTGGGATGGAAAGCTGTCACGACATGTCTGATCTTGTAGTGCCTGCAAAAAAGTAAAACTTTGAATAAGAACAGAGGGTACGAAACCAAGGTGGTCAAAGATGCTAGCTTACATATCTAAGATTGTACCTTAATAAAAAATGTTGCTAAAACAGGAAGACTGAGGTCAATGCATTTTAGAAATCAGCCACTGTATAGTGAATCCCACTTCTAATGAGACATGACAGTTTTGTAAATACATGCAAGACACTGCATGTTCTGAATCTTCCATATTTCATAACTGAAGAAGTATTACAAATTAATGTTCAGTTAACTCTCTTTAAGTTTGGGGCTGGTACCAAGTGTCTGTGTAAGAATGATGTCTGTCTTATAGACAGTCAATTAAAGGGAGATAAAAAGGCTTCAACCAAATATTTGTGTCCATTTTACTGAGGGGTCCATCTCATAGAGGGTGTCGTTGTCAGGTTGGTAATATTGTTTGGATCTTAAGTTTGAACTATATGTCAAAGAAAAGAAAAAAGGAAAAATCTTGGGAACACCTCGCCATCTTAATTGGTAACACCCCTCCCAGCTTTAAATTAACAATAATGCAGCCCTGTGTGAGAAACATTAGAAATCGACCCTTACCTTATCAAATAATATTACTCTGGCTTTGTCTTGCTTCCAAAGCAACATGACATTGATGGTAAACATCGTCTGATCCAAGAGGGCTTAATTTCATTTCTTATCTTCTCAGTTTTGTTAGTATTGCGTCTGAATTTAGATTTTAGAGTTGACCACAGTCTCCTTGTCATCTGTGAAAATCAAAATAAAGCAGACTTAAACAGAAAACTGATAAGTCCACCCATGCATAGCCTATGCAAAACATGACAAGAACATGCCCTAACTTCTTAGAGCTAATGTAAGTACACACACATTACAACTTATAAGAAAAAGTACAAATAGGACTGTTCAAAGTCGAGCCAATAACATCATAAGCTGATAAACTGAAACTAATCTTCCTTAACCCTACAGGCTATGATAAATCCTAAGTTGTCCTATAAAGTAATATTAAGGTGTAAGTTACACTGATCTCAATCTATTTACCATTATGGATTTCCGCATTTTTATTTCTGCGACTGGCTCACTTTTTACGGGATCGGCCCCAACATCTAGGAACAAAAGAAATTAAACCTCAGAATTTCTTGAACTAGATTTCATATGCCAAGGTAAAAAAAATGCTGGAAAGAGAGAAAGATCGATGAAGAATAAAGAGACCATAACTGCAATCCGTGACATTAGAACTTGGGTCAATTGAAGGATTAACATTGACAATTGTTGTGCTCAACCCCCTATCCCTGGCCCTTTCAATGTTGGCCTCGACCTAGGGAGAAAAAGCCGTACCTTCATCTAACTTTTCATCGGACTCTGTAAGCTTGACTTCCAAAACCTATTGTTAAAGAAAAAACAGGACAAAAATACTTATTATTATGTCATACTAAGCCACTATTTGAAATACTATCTTTCTACAAATACTCCTCCACACAGATACAATAACAAGGCCCCCGTGTATCAATTCTTGCCCCTAGAGCACTGCGTTTATGAAGCTACAGCATGCCCTCAATATATAAAGAAGAACATTTTCTGATTTACTAAAGAAGTGATAATTATTACTTTTTCAAATAAAGAAGTTAGTATTAACTTGTCAATTCTCATTATGCTGTAATAATTAAAAGCTCTTCATTTAGAGATGAAAGATCCTTTAGTATATTCTGGTTGCTTTAGTACAGTTTCTAATGTAGTCACATACCTTTTCAGGATATTCATGCGTAATGTTTTGATTCTTTTGGTGCACTTCTTGGTCATCAGTGTCATTGTTTTGGTGCACTTCATGGCCATCAATGTCATTGTTTTGGTGCACTTTATGGCCATCATTGTCAGTGTTTTGGTGCATTTCATGGCCATCACTGCCATTGTTTTGATGCACTTCATGGCCATCATTGTCAGTGTTTTGGTGCATTTCATGGCCATCACTGTCATTGTTTTGATGCACTTCATGGCCATCATTGTCAGTGTTTTGGTGCATTTCATGGCCATCACCGTCATTGTTTTGATGCACTTCATGGCCATCATTGTCAGTGTTTTGGTGCATTTCATGGCCATCACCGTCATTGTTTTGGTGCACCTTTTGGCCATCACTATCGGTGTTTTGGTGCACTTCTTGGCCATCATTGTCGGTGTTTTGGTGCACTTCTTGGCCATCCATGTCGGTGTTTTGGTGCACTTCTTGGCCATCACCGTCGGTGTTTTGGTGCACTTCCTGTCTTTTGCATCCAAAAACTTCTCCTTTCTCCTCGTCACTTTGCCGCTGTTCCTAAAAGAAATAAAAGAGGAAAATAAAAATACCCTCATAAATTAATGTGAGGGTAAAAGTGAGTCCCCTGGGATGATAGTAAAAGTTCAGTGTCCAACCTCCAAGTGGAAAGTGCAGATTTCAAGTTTGTTATCATTTTTTGCCTCAGTTACTTTAACATCTATGTTCCCTCATGTACTTAATTTGAAAAGGAAACATTTACTGACAGACAGAGAAAAATACTATAAATTAAACCAAGTTCATTAACACGTGGACCCTATCTTTGCCTTGAAAATATGCTTCATAGAGATACAGATGGCTTCAATTTTTAACTCTTGTGTATAAATAGAGAATAGCGTCTTCCATGTTCAGTTAACTCAAAAGAGTCACTTACCATTTTAACCAGCGGCTCGTAGTGAAGGTTGGTAAGCATTAAGAGTAAACCGCCATCACGAACATCTGTCTTATTTAATCTGTCTGGAGTCACAACGTGAATGTAAGGAACTTTATTACAACCTTCTGTAACCACTTTACATGGAAGAGCTGTTAGGTTTGATAACCCGTAGATAACTAAGTCTCCAATTGCACTGTTAAATGCGCCATAAACGCAATACTTGACCAGTTGGATTTGCCAGCCATCAAGCATGAACGGAGAATAGAAGCTTTTATGTTCAGCAAACTCACGCATCACAGCAGATAGAAGATCTCGGTAGCTCTCGTATGTATTAATGCCCTCCTCCTGCATGGCCTGAAGGAGAAACATTAATGCATCAACTTACAAATTACCTTGAAAAAAGTCTTTTGTCCAGCACTCACCAGGAAACTTGTGAGGTCGACTTGTGGCATAGAATAGGACTAGTCCCTCATTTTTCCTCAGGGATAGTAGAACAAGCAAAACGTGAACACACGTGAAAATCATCCCATGCAAGAAAAGTGAGATGCAGCGGTGAAAGAGCAGGCAATTCTCACATTGGGTGATTTTCACGTGTCCCTGAGGAACAGTGAGGGACTACTCATAGTCTACTTGCACCAAGTCTAGGTAAATGTGTATGAGCAACATTTTGAGTGCAAATAAAAGTCAGTGAAAACCCCTGTTCTCAGGTCAAAGTGAAAGGTGAACTTAACCTCAATCATCCTCAATCTGCATAAATTATTCAGATCATACTTGGCCTCATAAAAAATGAGGCTTATTCACAAAATTAATATTTCAAAATATTACGCGTGTTTATACCGGTAAAACGTAATTTACATGTCTTAAATTATTTAACAATTTCTGAATGAGACTGGGTACGACAAAATACTTCTTCCTCAGTTAGTCTAACCAACCTTCTAACCTCCTCAACGTTGATCAAAACCAAGAAGGACCAAGAAGAAACAGATGCGTTTTTGCATTTCATTCAGTCTTTAGTAAAACTAGGTTGCCGCGCCTGTTAACCGCGCCTGCTGCATAAAAACGAGATCAACCTCGTCCCAGGGCGCTTTTCCCAGGATTATGAACGATATAAAAATATGTAGTCGCAAGCTCAAATTTAATGTATGAAATCATTTACAGAATAGGCACCGGAAGCAAAGCCCACACTTATCAGAGAGTTCGAGTCCAATTTGTTGCGATGCCCCTGGGCAAAGTCTCCACGTATCCCAGGATCAGACGGGGGTCCATTTACCCCATGGAAGCCGATGAATACGGCTTTCGTTACTCAGTTGGGGACCTTAGCTGGCTTCAAGAGGAAAAAAACTAACTGAATGCAGGAGCAAAATGAAGAGTTAACGAGAGAACAAGACGAATTTACATACTGAATGTTTGGTAGAAAGAGAAAAAAAATCTTTTTTTGGTTATTCTCCATATCAACCTCTCTTGAAACTATGTGCATTCCCTTAAACTTACATTAGCGTTGGCATAAGTTTGCACAAGAACCATAATGGTTTAAAATCCAGCCATAAGATATATGTTATTCTCTAGTTTAGCTTTAAACCTTTTTTTCCCTAGGTTTTTAAGTTTTTCTGATCGCTTACCCTATGCCAAGCATGCAATAAGCAATGGCCATCCGCCGGAACCGGTACTCTACGTAATCCTTCCTGCTGAAGGTATTCTTCTACAGACCGTGGTGTCCCCGCTTGATCGGAGCTGCAGTTTTCCTTCTCTATAGAAGCGTAAAATTACAGACGTTTGTCGTTAAAGTGTGGTTCCCATGTAATCGTCCAGATGATCTATGGAAATGCCTATATGAAGAAGCGACGTATAGCGAACCGGAAGATGAAACGCAGTCGCTTCAGACTAAAATGAATCTAATTATATACAAGGTGGGTGATTATTTTCAATAAGAAGTCTTGTTAACCGTGGTTATTGCAACATGTTATTTGCTGACGATTGGATACGCCATTCAAGTTATGTTTGAGTGCTGTAGTTTTCTTCGGCACCACGCCAATCACTCGCGCGGCCCCAGTGCTTACTCTAACTCATTGACGGTCAAAAGAGGAGAGCGCAAAAACGCACGAAATTCAAAAGAGACTCCGAATGTGGCAGTCCTAAAATTGACACTTTGCTATTGGTCGTTTTTAGTATATATATATACACATCTGCGCGCGCCTTCGGCTATCTTCTCTTCTCTGTGTCATACCAGGGCCTTGATTCCGGCCTGTGTTATACTGTGTTAATCTTCGCCGTTTTAATCTTTTTGCTATTCGAACTAAATTTCGCCAGCAGTAAGAATTTGTTTTTTGGAGAACTGTTGTGTTCCGTTACTATTAGTGAATAAAGGAGTTTGTTCCGCGCTTTCAGATTGCTCACGGAAGAATATTCTATACCATTATTACGTCAAATGGAACGCTCGTTAATATATATGTAATTTATGCCAACTCTAGCAAAAATGTAGTTTTTCGGAATATTCGTTTTTCTTTGCAGCTCTTCCTCTTGTCTTGATGTAGTTCGTTCTCTTGATAAAAATATAGAAATTTTCTCTCGATCAGAATATTTGTTTTCCTTCTCAAAGGTTTCAGCAATGCGCGCGTGCGCCTCGCAGTAGCAACCCAAAACAAAAAGAAATTGCAATGAGGCTTCACTAGCTTAAAAAATATTTCTTTCTTCAATTTTTTTCCCACAAGAAAACTCTCTCTGAAATCGGCCCAAATTAAATTAAAGTTACCATATTTATTTCGAAATTGCGCAAAAAATATGTCCGCTCAAACTTGTACCACGCCCTGATTCAAAATCAAATTTGCGAGTTGTGCCCGCTTCACTCAAGTAACATCATCTTCTAAATCTATCTTTTTGCCCAAAAATTAAGGGTACATTAACTTAACTATATACTCACCTTCATTTTGACGACTCATTTTGATAAATCAACGTTCTCAGTTTTCGAAACAAAATTTTCTCAATAGCTTTTATTAGACTGAAGCGCATTCGCGTCTACCATGTAGCTTAACGACTCATCTACTACCTAGTTACCTTTATGACGTAACATGGAAACCAATTAGCTAATTTACGCATGCGCATTTATGATCAGTACAACTCCTTATTTAGAATACGGTGTTATGAAGTAAATGCCTTTCAGGTATACATGTCTTGTTAGCGACAGAGCACTATATTGTAGCCTCTGTTTTGGTTTTGAACGCAATGAAAGGTTTTTATAACGCTGTCGCTACTTTTTCTGACGTTCATCAGGATCTGCACCGGAAGTTGAAATTATAACTCGTTTCCAGGCTATCTCAAGCACTGCTGAGCCTTCAATTTACATTAGGGAGCTTAAGCAGCAACGTTTCTGAGCGACGCACGTCAACCGGAAGTGAGCCTTTCCCCTTTAATATGCCTTGACGGCCGGGGGGTACTCCCATATATGGGCTATATAAGTACGTGCCGCGGAATAGGGTATGGTTTTTGAGGTTCTCGGTCCTTAAATAGGGTATCTTTTTTGACCCTTTTGTTTCTGTGTCCCTAGTGTGGTCCTTAGATAGAGTAGCTTAATTGTATTATCTAATACTGGAGTGTAAAAACGCCCGCCTAAACGAACATTTTTTTTTTTT